TTTATTATACATAGACTGTATATATAGAAAAATAAATTCAAAACAGTTATTTATATGTGTAAAAAATATAATTAAACAAATTTAGCATGCATGATTTTCTAGTTAATTAATTATATATATATTTTTTTATTTTACTGTTTAAAAAAATTATATTATAGGGCGTATACACTTTATTATAGTGTGTGTGTTTTCATTGTAATAAAAAATAACAAAACATTTAAAGGTTATAATATTTAAATCAAAAAAACAAAAATAAATTATATTATAATATATAAATTTATATTATATATATATATACAGTATTTTAATCATTAATAGTTAGTTTTGAGCGATAGATTTGTCATAAGTTATCATTTAATTATATATATACTGTATATATATATTAAAAAGTTAATACTGTATTTACACGCAAAATAATTAGACACAATATATGTTTTAAAAAGTAAATATTAATAATTTATTTATTTATTTTTTAAAAATAAATAAATAAAATACCTATTATCAATTAAAAAATATATAAATGCCTATTATAAAAACATTTTTTAAATACATATAATTAATTTATATAACAAAAAAAAGTGTATCAAACACACAGTACACATACAATTTAGTTGTATTTATTATAATATTAAAATCATAGCACAATTAATAATAATAATAATAACTACAACAATACAAGGGTATAATCTTTTTAATTTTAAAAAGGGATAGACATATGATTTGAAAATTAAATTGACTTATAATTATTATTGTTTGAAAAACAATGTTTTTTTTTAAATAGACTTTATTATTATGAATAAGGTTTGGTATAAAAATTAAACAAAAATATATTTAAATAAAACAATTATTTATTTTAATTTTTAATTAGACTATATATTTTTAAATATATATATATATTTAACAATATTTGGACTAAAGTATTACTATATATAGAGATTTATAATAATAATAATTATAATAATAGAGTAGATATAAAAAATTTAAACTAATATTATTTTTAAAAATTTATAAAACTATTTTATTTAATAACGATTAATAAAGATATAATTATTATTCAGATTATTATTATTATTATTATTATACTGAATAAGTAGTTATTTATATTATATTTAATTTTAATTTTATTTTTTGATATACATTTAGACCTTGAGATTTTACATACATATAATATTTATTCAAATAATTTAGCAATTGATTGCTATATAATAATAATAATATAATAATTTTTGAAAAAATAATAATAATAAAAATCAAAATCATTTTAAGTTTTAGTTTTATCCAAAAGGTATTTTGTGTGGACATAAATATTTAATTAGAAAATTAAAATATGTTATCATTTAACTAGTAATAGTAGTAGTAATATAAACTTGATTTTTTGTTTTGTTTTATTATAATATATATATATATATATATATATATATATATATATATATATATATATATATATATATATATATATTGCACATATATTTACTGTATATATATTTATTGCATATAAATTTACTGTATATATATTTATTGCATATATATTTACTGTATATATATTTATTGCATATATATTTACTGCATATAAATATATAATACATATATAATATAATTTTTATAATTATATTTAATCGAGAATTAGAACATTAATTATATTAAGATATTTTATATTCACTTTTATTATTTATATATATATATAATATATTAATACTATATATATATTAATATATACTAGTATTTAATATTTTATATATATTTGAATAAATTTTTTATGAAAACCTTTAGGAAAATACATACAGTTTTTTTATATTTTAATTCATATGTATGTTAAGGATATTTTAAATAATAATAATAATAAAAAATCTAAATATTTAAAGGAAAAAGTGTTATAAGGTTTGGCACTTTCTCTCTCTCTCTCTCTCTCTCTCTCTCTCTCTCTCTCTCTCTCTTTATATATCTCTTTCCACTGTTTTTTGGGATGAATTAAAATAATTATTTAATATAATTATAATAACATTATTATTATTATAAAATTATTATGAATAATATGCATTCACACATTATTTAGTTTTAAATATTTTTATTTTGAAAAAAAATCATATGATTTTCTAGTTTATTATTTTTATTATTATTATTATTATCTAATGACTTTTGTTTTACTCCATTAACAATAATAATAATAATAATAATATTAAATTTAATAAATAAAACTTGAAATATTTTCTGTATTTAAATAATAATAATATTATTATATATATATATATATATAAAGATATAAATCGTTTTATATAAATTTTATTTAGATAATGAAAATTAAGTTATAATCAAAAATTGAAATTGTATTATAAAAACAATTTAATTAAAAAAAAATAAAAATAAATAATTTTTGATTTTTATTCCTCTTTCAAATTATTATGAAATCAATCACCGATAGACACAAAACATGTTTTATATTATATATATATATATATATATATAATATAACAGTTAAAAAAAATATTTACTAATTAGCAAAAAAAAATTTTTAGTTAATATTTAATTAAATATTTAATAAAAAGCATTTTATGTCAGATTTTTGTAAATTAAATTTATATAAATTATAAAAACAGTTTTATATAGTTATCTATTGAAATAATATGTTATTTACAAATTAGTATACTATTTAAAATTTATTAGATATTGTTATATATATATATTTATGTTAAATATTTAAATTTTTATTTAAAATAACAATAGTATTATACCTCAAAAAAATAATGTTTAATAAAAAAAAAATCTCATTTAAAAAAATTTTTTGATAATTGATTAATAATATTTGTTTTTTTGGTTGTCATGATTTTTAATTAAATTATTTATTGTTTGGCAATTTATATATAATATATATATGTTTTTATTTATTTAGTAAAATTATAATTTTTGAAAAAAAATATATTATGACATTGAAATAGAGTGTAAAATCGTGATATAAAGTCTAATAAGTTTTTCACAACAATAATATTAATGATAATTGATTAAAAATAATAGTATTTAAAACACATTATCTAATATTTTCCCATTATTTATATTATAAATATTATTGTTATCACTAATAGTAAATACTAAGCAAAAATAAAATATTACAAAACATTTTTTTTATTGTTGCTGTAATTAATTAAATTTATGAAAAATTTTATTATTTATTTATTAAAAAAATACTATTTGTCTTAAAGTAAACAATTTTTTATTTGCAAATAATAAATTATATTTTTATTAATATAATCATTGAATGGATATAATATGATTGCATTTTCCGTGAATTACATCATATTTTTTTATAAAAAAAATAAATAAATAATTACGATATGTATGATCTATATATTAATTATTTATATACTGTGTATATACTGTATATATTATATATACTATACATATATTTTTTTGATAATAGATGTGTAATTGCAATTGACTTTGAATAAAATGCAATTTTTAAAAAAAAAATAATGTCATTATGTAATAAATAATAGAAAATTAATATATAATATACTGTATATATATAATAATTACTTTTTTTGTGTTGAATATAAGTTATTTTATCCTAATGTTTTATTTAAGTATTAGATTAATATATATATTGTATTTTTTTAAAATAAAAGTAGAGCAAACTTACATTGATAATTTTAATATATATATTTCAGTAAACTAGAAAATTTCCCGGATATTTACCAATAATATATACAATATATATAAATATATATATATATATATATTGTATATACAATGTAAGTGTATGTATGTATGTGTCTGAATAAGTGTTATCCGGTTAATAAAACAGCAATTATTTTTGCAACAATTTTGATGATAAAAAAATGTTTGCAATAATTGTTATTAACTTATTATAAGCTAATAAAGCGAGTCATTTATGATTGTTTTTTTAAATAAAATAAAAATATATTTATTTCTAATAATTAATTAATGTTTTATTAAGTTTAGAAAATTAAACTAATAATACTGTATAATAGGGTATTTAGATTAATATTAAATTAATATTAAACTAGAAATCTATATATTAAATTAAATAAATAATTATCATATTTTTTTAATTATTTAAAATAAAAACATTTATCTTAATATCTAATTTCTTAAAAATGATTTATATATTATAATATAATATTACATTTTAATTAATTACAACAACAAAACATATAACTATCCTAAATGATGAACAATTTTTTATAATTAAAATTTTATTTTATAAAGTTATAATTTTGATATTAATTATTTTTTTTAATTAATTAATACCGCATTTTTCATAAAATAAAATAATTTTTTATTTAAAGTAATTATAATTAATTAAACCAACTCTATATTATATTAATAGTTTTAAACTTTCAATTATCATTAGCATTAACCCATTATTATTATTATTATTATTAATACTTTAACTAATACTATTATTTTAATATTATTATTATTATTATTATTATTATTATTATTATTATTATTATTATTCCTGTTGTTAGCATTGGGGAAGTCAGTATTGACATCATCACAAAAAACTACCCGTGCAATAGGATTGGCTCATTTAGATAACATTAATAATAAAAAGTAACAGTGACTTAAATATATATACTGTATATACTGTATGTATTAATATATATGAAAATATAATATACTGTATATATAATGAGGTTATAGTTTATTTTATTGTTGTTGCTGCTGCTGCTGTAAAGTTTTGAACAAGATTATTTTTGTTTTTTAATCAATTTTTATTTATTATTATTATTATTATTAATAATAATACCACTTTCCCAATACATACATACTTTATATTTACTACCCCTCCCCCTGATCCCCAACTAAATATCCAGTCCTCTTAATATATATAACTTATATATATATTATTTATAATTATTATAATTATTAAATATATATTTATATAGTTTAGGAGGACTTGTTTTTTTAATGAGAGCTAAAACTTTTATGAGTGTTAAAAGTTTTCATTTAGTAACTAACTCTCACAGTGTGTGTGTGTTTGTTTGTAGTGTATATGTTTGTTGTACTGTATGTATGTTTTTTTAAACATGTCTTTAAATTATTGTAATACTTAAGTGTTCAAGTATTCAAATAGATATAGATAAAAAAAAATTTGATAAACAATAATAAACTCTAAACTCATCCCCAAAAAAAAATATTTGTTATTTTTTTGTTGTTGAATACTGTGTGCCTACCTGTGAATATAGTGTGCACCCATACCATACCCATACCTAAATAATAATGTATAAGCTAACTACTATACTACTAGTTATCTGTTATCTACCCTATCTGATTGTTACCCAATACTACTCGTCATCCCATGGTGGTGGTGCGGGTGGTTATGGAGGTGCCAAATATGACCCCCAACGTGAATACTCTAGCGAATTGGCCAGTATCTATACTAAATATTTAACTGCCGGTGCCCAACAACACGGTTGCGGTAATGCTGGCGGCTATGGTGGTCCTGGTAAATCGTTTAGCCAGCTAACCGATCACGACCTACAGGAAGCCCAGGCCTACGCCGGCCAGCAGATCCAGGTCTACGAAAATCAAAATCAACAATACCTGGCCATTGATCCGCGCGGTCTAAACTTTTCGGCCTATATTTTCGGCGCTATCCTACAGTCCCGTTACAATGAGTTTACCACTGAATATTTGATGAGCAAGTAAGTTATTTTATAATTGATTTATTTTTTGATTGATCCTTGATGATTTTTTATGTAATAATTATAGTTTTAATATAATACAGTAGTATTAGTAGTAGTAATACTTATATAACTTTTCAATCAATAAAAAAAAATAATTATTATTATATAAAATATTTTTTTTTGATTTTGTTAAATAATGATTTTAATTATAGTGTTTTTTAAAAATAATTATTTGGTGTAATATATATTAGTATACTATAAATAAATTAGTTTCCTCTCTCTCTCTCTATCTCTATATATCTCTCTCTTTCTTTCTATATATATATATATATATATATATATATATATATATATATATGTATCTCATAATAATTATTATCTAATGATAAATCGTTGATTAAATTTATTATTTTCTTTTAAAAAAAATATTATTAATTATAAAAAAACACTTCAATGAATTGATGGGAATTTTTTTTTGTTGAGTAAATTTCTAAGTATTATATTATAAAAACATTTCTATACTCTCAATATTAACTATAATTGATGAATGAGTTTTAATTTCAAAATTATTATTATTATTATTATTATTATTAATACTTTATATTTAGTTCAACAAAAATAAAATATATAAATATGAAACAAATTCTGTAATTTATTTCACTTTTTTTCAAAAAACATATTATTATTATTGAATATAAAAGGATTTTCAAGGCTTTTAAGTTTAAATTAAATGTTATATATATTTATTAATTTTAGTTTTTTTGTGTAACTATATTGCTATTAAATTCAAATTTTAAATAATAATAATAATAATAAAAAAGATAAGTAAGTGAATGATAATAATAATATTAGATTTTTTTAAAAAAATATATTTACTTTCAATCTTTCAAAAGCAAACAAAACTTTTCAATCTTTTTTTGTATTTACAATGAATTAAATAAAAATAAAAATAGACATAAATTTTGATTTATAAGGATATTGTTTTACTAATACAGAAAGAGAGAGAGAAAAAAAATTAACAAAAAAAATTTCTATGTATTTAATTATTATAAATATTTAACGGGAAAAATAAAAACATTTACTTTTCACTTATAAGTTATACAGAAAACAAACAACAAAAACAATACATTATATGGTGTTATACTATATATCCATTTTAAGTGACATTTAAATTGTATTTTATATACATATATATCATATATATAATATATATTATATTAAAATATAAATAATTGATTAACTATTTTGCCTGAAAGCCGTATATATAGTTTAATCATTAGTATTATATAGGCTTGAAATTTAAGGGCCGAAACCAAAAACAATTGATATTTAATAAAAAAAAACAATTTACTATATAATGTTAGGAATAAATTTATATATTTTTTTGTTGATAAATATATATATAATTTTCATTTTTGTTACAACAAAAAAATGTTTACATAATATTTTCTATTAACTAGAGATTATATTTCATAATAATAATGCTAACAATATTATTATTATTATTATAAACAATGATTATTATGATTATTAACTAATGCGTGAAACACATACAGAAATTTATTTATTTTTTAATATACATTAATATAATAATAATAATTTTGTTGTTGTTTTATAAATGTATATAAAAAAAATTCCCGTAATTTTTCAATATGTATTACTAAATGGATTTGAAATGCACTGTAAAATGAGATTAATATCAAAAAATTCATGTAATAATAATAATAATAATAATGTTTTCACATTTTACAGGCAATAATAATATATTTTACTTTTTTGTTAAAAGAAATCATAATATTTCCTCCAAAAAAAAATTTTTTTATACTTATTTCACACACATATTACTAATACTACCGAAAAAAATAATAATCCAATAAATCAATAAATCAAATATTGGAGAAAAAAACATTATATCAATATTTTTTTTATGTATATTTTATGTTTTATTTTTTTTATATTATATATTTTATGTTTAACTAAATGGTATACATAGTTTTTATGGCCTAACATTTTTACATAACAACAAAAACACAATGTGTTTATTATGTATTTATTATTTATATTATATGATATATACTGTAGTATAGTATAAGTTGTTAGTATACACTGTATATATATATATAGCTTGTCTTTTGGGAACGTAGCACAAAAAAAACTAGACGTAATTTATGTAAATAAAAAATTTATTTTTTAAATATAGTCCCCTCCTAATTCGATGCATAGCTCCATTCGGGATCTCCACATCTCGAAAGCTTTTTTATAGCGATCTTCATATAATGGAGTGAAAATACTCCATATAGTCCAACTGTGTTCTGTCTTAAATGCTTGTCCGCGAAGAAAATGCTTCAGACCACTAAACAAACAAAAGTCACATATATATATAATATGGCGGGTGCGGTACAGTATATGACATAATATTTTTGGCCAAAAACTCTTGAGTCAGTTTTGCAGTATGAACTCGGCTGTTGTCGTGGTGCAGCAGCATTCCTTTTTTAGCAGACCCCTCAATGACTTTAGGAAGACATTGTGTGGTATATACAATATGGCTGTCTTCTGTCCGCATAATTATACCGCGGCCAAAAGTTATTGAAAAATATAACTTTTCCAATAGTTTTATGTCGCTTGACAATATCGGGTGGTACCTCATCTTCAAACACAAATATCTTTGCTTCTCGTGATAATTTTGGCTCATAATAATGAACATATGTTTCATCACCTGTAGTGATCTTATCAATTAAAACATGTCTCTCTCTCTCTCTCTCTCTCTCTCTCTCTCTCTCTTCTCGGCAAATGTTCACACGTTGTTGTTTTTGCTCATCTGATAGAAAGTGAGGAACAAACCGACATAAACGCTTCCGTACGCCAATCAAATCAGTGCATATTTTTTGAAGTGTTGTGCGATGAATGCCTGACTTTTCCTCTAACTATATGTAATCCATGGATCTGCTCTTATTATCTTTTCGACAGCGGCAACATTTTCAGGAGTCGATACAGTAACTTCCGGACCTTTATATATCTTTAAATGACTGTACACCGAGTTTGAAATGTCGGATCCATTTGGTGATTGTACTGTAAGCAGGGCTATTATTGCCCAACCTGTCCATCATCCGACGATGAATTCGTTTGGGTCTTGTGTGGACAAAAATCATAATAAATTATGACACGTTTGTGTTCCTCCGATAACTCCATTGGTATAAAAACTTCTGACCAGACCTTTTAAATGGTTATATCTTATACACGACTAGAGATAATTAGATGAAAATCACAGGTTAAGGGTTTGATATGTAAACAATCAAAAACACGTGTCAACCAATTTTTTATATTATACCGTTTAGGTGGCGCTATCTTCCCAAAAGACAAGCTGTATATTGATTTAACAGTTTAACCTAACGTATCAATAAGTTATTCAATAAATTAAACCGTAAAAAATTGGTAAAACAAAAAATAAATAAACCATTGAAGCCCCAGGTCTTTTTTTAAAAAAAATATATTGATATATACATATATATATATTGATATATACATTATATATATATGTGTGTGTATACAGTATGTCTGGGAAAGTCTAGACTTTTATTTATTCAATAGTGAACTTAATATATATATATATATAACGGATTTTACTGTATATATATATAATATATATGTCCCTAAAAATTTTATCAAACAATTTTTGTATTATATAAAAATTATAAATTAAATAATAACAACAAAAAAGTTCACTGATAATATATCTTTTTATATACAGTATATACTGTATTATATTGTATACTATATACGCCCAAATAGTTAACCCATTGATAATGTTTTGTTGTTTTTTGTTGCTGTAATAAAACAATTATATATTTTTTTATTAAACAGTTTAATATCTAATTATTTTGACATAAAAAACAAAAAATATTGGATAAAATTGATTGAAATCATAATAACAATAATTAAATAGAAATTATTATTTTTTTATCCATAAAATAATTTTACTCTCTCTCTCTCTCTCTCTCTCTCTCTCTCTCTCTCTCTCTCTCTCTCTCTCTCTTATTGATGAAATAAACTGATCATTAGCTGCTAATAAATAAAAATATGAAAAAATCAATTTTTTATTAAAAGTAATATATTATTATTATAATAGTATTATTTTGTAGTAATTAATTTTCAACAACAAAAATGTTAAATAAAAATTATAGATATAATTTGTGTGTTAATATTAAATATAATAGATAGCTAACTATACTGTAATTTACAAACATTTTTTTAATGTATTTGAATTTTAAATTAGATATTATACTGTAGTATAGTATTATGTTTCTCACATATATCTATAATTTTTATCAATTTATCAATCAATAATAATAAATGTTTGTTTCAAAAAATAAAAAACATTTTTTTTAAAAAATTACTAATTACTAGTTATTATTAATGAAAACTTGTTAGCAATAGGAAACACATATATAATATTTAATTTATATAATATATACAACATCATCATTGATAAAAAAAATAATGATAATTATTATATCATTTATTGAATTATACAATATTACTGATAATTTTGTTTTTTTTGGACAGTTATTAATAATTTTGACATAAAATTTTTTTTTGTCCAAAAACAAAATATTAAATAATTAATAATAAAATAGTTAGTAATTTTCTCACACACACATAAAGTAACCCTTAAATGGTATTTATATACTTAAAAAAATAATTTATATATATATATATAAACTATAAATATAAATTATTACTACTAGTAATAAACTGGATTAAATTGCTGGCCTAAATCGGTTTCATAAATTTATATTTAATATATATATATATATAACTTGAAATATATATTTTTTCATATATTTTTTTCATGAAATTTTTTTTAAAAAGATATAATGAAAGTGATAACAGTTATACATATATTTTTTTTGGTATAAATTATTAATAATTGTTAATTATATGGAAAAAACACTGTCAATGATATATTTTTCACACACACAACAAAATATATCCCATTTTATATTGAATAATGATTTTTTTTAAAAAAAACATTACTTATTAGCATTACTTAGAGATTTAATGTAAAAATGTTTTTTAGTAGTAGTAGTAGTAGTAGTAGTAGTAATAGTTGTAGTAATTTAAACTGTAAATCCCATTAAACATACATACAGTTTATATAGTGTAACGCAAATTGTCGTCAATTAGCGATTGTCTCGTCAAAAATGTTTATTTAATTTTATTATTTGTTTGTTTGCAATAAACAACAAAAAAAAACATTAAAAAACTTTTAATATAATTACTTAAAGTATTAACATGTAATACATATTATGTATGCAAACATATACACTGTATATATATATATATATATATATATATATATATATATATATATATATATATATATATGTATATATATATACATACTATTTAGCAATTTTAATTATTTACGAAAAACCTAATTAGCACTTAAAAATTGTGTAACAATTTCATAGAAAAAAATTAAATATATATATAAATTTATTTTATCAGATCATACAGTATTCAACAATTTATTTATAAAGTATTAAATATATATTATATATATATATAAAAAAAATTAGTCATATAAAAAATCACATACAGTACTTACAGTATTTACTGTACATTATTTTATTAGCTATATATATATAAAAAATTTTGTCATTTATTTTTAGACAGTTAAACTACAATCATTAAAGTGATCATCTTATATATATATATATATACTGTATATATATCCCCATTAAATATATATATATATATACAGTATATCCCACATATTAAATAGTTTACTATCTTTTACTTATTTTTTTTTGTTTGTTTGTTTGTTATCTTTTGTGGGGCAATAAAACTTAATGATACACATAGAAAAAAAACATTTTATTTTATATATATACAGTATTTACTGTAACTATAATGTCAATTAAATTGCATTTATCTAAATTGTATATACTATGATGATGATGATGATGATGATGCTGATAATGATGATTAAACTTAATACACATATTATTATTATTATTTAATTTTTTAATAAATAGTAAAAAATATATATTACAAAAAAATATAATAAATTAATCTAATGCTTAATAAATTTTTTTTAATTATGTGATATCTTAATCGCTAATATTAATTTATTTTAATTTTTTTTATTTTCAACAAAAAAAATTTAATAAAATAATTTCAAAAGTTAAATGACATATCAATTTATTTTGCTTGACATATATATGTATATTTATATATATATATATATATATAAACTATTTATCAATTAATTTAAATAATATTTTATAGTTTATGTTTTTTTGTTACTATTTATTTAAAGTTGATTTAATTAAAAAATATTTATTTTTGTTGACTTCCGATGACAAATATGTATATTTAATGACTTATTTGAGATAAAATTAAAATTGAAAATAAAAATTAATTTAAAATTAAAATAATGTATCATTTAAATAGCATTTAACATTACAATCAACTCTAATATTATATATATATAAATCTATGTCATAACAAATAATAATAATATAATAATAAATGTATTAATAAAATATTAAGTATTATATTATATATATATATATATATATATATATATATATAATACAGTACTTATAAAATTCATGTAACTAACAAATTGAACTAAAAATAAAAACATAAAATATTATACATAAAACATGATATGAAATTATTTTTTAAAAATAAATAAATAAATGTTAAAAACAACGTGGTATTAATATTTATTTACAAACTATTTAAATATAACTTTTATTATTATTATTATTTTATGTTATTATAGTGTATTTATTATTACTATTAAACTGATTTAACTATATTTTTATTTGTTTCACTATCTAAAAGATTAAATTATTCACAAATTTTTTTTGTTTATTAAATTTTAAATATATATATAGATTTAGAGTAATAATTAAAAAAATTATTAAAATAATTTTCTCATAACTTTATTCAACTAAATAATTAATGGTTTTTATCAAAAACTATATAATTTTATTAATTTTTTTTTATTATAGAAAAAATAAAGTTCATTCATATAATCTATTTATAGAAATTAGTTAATATATTTGTTAATCATATTAAATGCACACAAAAAAGTGATACAAATTTATTTTATATAAAAGTTTAATAATATGTTTTACTTTGAAATGATAAAAATGATAAATTATTTTTATAAATGATATTATTTCCAGATATCAATTTAGTATTATTATTATTATTCAATATTTATTATTATTATAATTAGAAAAATTATTTTAAAAATTAAATTCTAATTAATATGATTTTATTGATATTAAATATATATATATATATATATATATATAAAATTAGATTAACAAATCAAGCATAGTCAATTAACTAATTATTTATAATAACAAATTAATCTTTATTATTTATCAATAAAAGTGTCAAAAAATCTATTAATTAATAATTTACAGTTCAATATTAATTATATATATACAGTATATATATTTAAATAATATATTAATTATTATATATTTAATATTTATGAATTAATTTTCTTTAAAAGTAATTATTGTCTTTAAAAAAAATTATATTTAAACTACTAATAAAAAATAATAAAAATATTTTAATTGACTATTTATTTATATATATATATATACAGTATATATAGTATATAATTAAACTTAAACTTAAACACTCACTAACTTTAATACATACACTTCAAGCATAACATAAAATCATTTAATGATTATTATTTCATTAATATTTTTTATAAAAAAAACACATAAACACAAACATAATAATAGTCTATAATTTTTAGCAATTAATATACTATTAGTAATAATAAAATTAATATTAATAATTAACTATTAATATAAAAAATAATAATAAATTTAACACAAAATTTATCACTTTATATTAGTTTACTATTATTATATTATAAACAATTACTATTATTATATTATAAACAATTTCTAATAATATTATTATTATTATAAAATTTTTATTATAGGAAATGTATATCACGATTAGAGTCGGCATCCGTACTACCTAAGCTGGGTGTACCCCTCAATAAAAATCAAGAGTACTGTAACCTAAACAAGCCTACCAGTGCCGATATCCAATGCGACCAAAAATACAAGTATCGCCTAATGAACGGCCGGTGCAATAACTTACACAATACTAACTGGGGTTCAAGTTTTCACTGTCATCGCCGACTGTTGCCACCCGATTTTGCCGACGGTATCAATAGGCCACGTGCCGGTACCGATGGCCTACCCCTACCGAGTCCCCGGTTATTAACCGAATTTATTATGCCCGACATACCCGTCCAGGACGACAAGCGATCGGGTATGAACATGGCCTGGGGTCAGTTTATGGTACACGACAGTTTCCGTACCATACAGAATCTGGGTCTGGCCATCAACTGTTGTCTGATACCCAATGTTACCGTACATCCCGAATGTGCACCGATAACCAACTTTCCCCAGGACGAGGCCACACTGGCCTTCAACAAACAACAGTGTATCAATACGGTCCGATCGGCATCGTGCAATACGTGCAGTCTAGGTAATTATATATATACATGTATATATATATATATATATGTGTGTGTGTATACGCTAACTACCTGTCCCCGTTAGATTATATTATTTACCACAGTAAACCCCCTAATTATTATTAATGTGTGTGTGTTTGTGTGTGTGTGTGTGTGTTTGTTTGTGTTTGTGTGTGTGTGTGTGTGTGTGTGTGTGTGTGGYTTACTAATTTTTAATAATATGATATATGTTTTTTAGATAATGGGTGCTAAATATTAACTTAAATATTAGTTTTATGTGTGTGTGTATGTATGTGTGCGCTTATGTATCAAATTGTGAAATCAAATTTAAATATTATTATTTTTCCGATAAATCACGTTTTAATTATCATTTAATACCACACACACATACAGTGTCTATACTGTATTTATTATGATATTTTTGATATTATATTAGAGAATATATACAATACATATTTAATTTATATTTTTGTAAATAAATTACAAAATTTTAGTTAAATATAATAATAATAATAATAATACTGTAATTATATTTAAATTGACATAAATCAATGCTAATGGTTAATGATAGCATTTTAAATACATGATAATGATATACAAGTAAAATATTATTTTATTATTATTTTTTTTTTTCTATACTTAATTATTTGATTGAATTTAATGTTTTTTTATCCTTAAACTTTAATAATTATTTTTTTTGTTGTTTTAATTTCACTCAATTTTATTCAATATTTAAATCGATTAAATGGTTTATTTTATTATAAAAATTTTTTACTTTAGTTATTAAAATCAGTAAAAAAAGTCCATGAAAAACAAAATAAAATTATAATAATTTAATCCCTTAAGTAAAGTCCTAAATAAGTTGTTTTTTTAACTATAATATAATATTATTATTAAGAAATTTAAATAATTTGAAAATTAAGAAAAAAAATTTAGATTATATTAGTAAATCAATTTTATTTAAACTTCAATAATAATAATAATAATAATTATTATTATTATTATATAGTTTTACATTAATTAATTTAATGAACTTAATTGAAATAAAATAAAATAATAATAATTTTTTTTATTATTATTTGTTGAAAATATCATAACTCCCATCAATACTACACTACCCCTGTATATACAGTATGACATAAATATTCAGACTAAATATTTGGAAATATTTCAACAAAATACTTATAATTATTTTTTTTTTTTTTTAAATTAATACTAAAACAAACAATAATTCTAAAAAATTATATATATATAYATATAACATATAATATATATACACACATAATAATTTTTGTTTTAATTAAATTATTGCCAAATTTGTTTCAGAAATTTGTTTTTAATTGCTTTATTATAAATTGGCAAAAATTTAAGTTATTTGATTTTTATTGCATTATTATTATTATTACTATTACTTATAATTATCTATCGATAATATCCTATTTAATAATAATAAAAAAAAACTACTACAGGTCCTCGGGATCAGCTGAATGTGGCCACACAGGTGCTCGACCTGTCCAACCTATACGGCGGTAATCTAATCGATGACACACTGACTTTGAGAAGTTTTATTAAAGGTATTGATTAAAAAAAACAAATTAAATAAATAAATTAAAATATCCACAAAAATATGGGTAATTAGTGATGAAAATTAAGAGATAAGAAAAATAATTTCAACAAACAATTAAGTGATAATTTCGTTTAGTTTTATTTGTAAATTTTAAAATTATGATAATTTTTTTTAAAAAAAATTGTTGTTATGTTTTTATAATAATAATTAACTTTGAAAACATATAGATATATATATGTTTATAGTTGTTTTATAGCAATAATTATCTATAATATATATACAGTACAGTATATATATAATAGTGATAGTGATATCATATATTGTTGACAATAGTAATAATAATAATAATAATAATAAATTATTTTTTTATGTGTAAGCAATAATTTAATTACTGTTTTTGTTGATTATCATTAATAATAATAATAAAATATCGGTTATTAAGTAATTAACTATTTAGATAAACATTTAGATAGATAGATAAGCCAACTATTTATTTTATACAACAATATATACAGTTTTTTTTGATCAATTAATTTATGTAATAAAAATTATTATTATTATCATTTTATATTAATATATTAATAATTAAAATAAATAATGTTTGACACCCTTCCAACCCACCCCACCCTTGGTAAAAAATAAGGTCAAATGCGTGGCTCATTGGATGTCAACGGCAATGAGACACTACCGGTCCGGCGACTGCCCAAAGAACAGGACACCCTAGACCTAACCCCCTGTAACGAACCGATGGGCAACCCGGAGCTTACTTGCTATCATACCGGTGACGGTATTCGGGGTAACCAACAACCGGGTGTCAATTCAATACACATAATGATGCGCAAACGTCATAACCAACATGCCAAGGCACTGGCCTATGTTAACCCCCACTGGGACGATGAGATACTGTTCCAGGAGGCCAGGTATGTATTTGGCATAATTAACTAGTATATGATTTTGTGTGTGTGTGTGTGTGTGTGTGTGAATGTATGTATTTATGTGTATGTGTGTATGTATGTACTGTATGTATGTGTGTGTGAATGTATGTATTTATGTGTGTATGTATGTATGTGTGTGTGTGTGTGTGTGTGTGTGTGTGTGTGTGTGTGTGTGTGTGTGTGTGTGTGTGTGTGTGTGTGTGTGTAAAATTAAGTTAAACGGTAACAACAAATAAAAAAATAATAGAAAATAAAAGTGAAATTTTATTTTATTTTTTTTATATCACTAAAAGATATCTGTATTATTGTGTTTAAGATTTATATAATATAAACATTTTTATTATAAAAATGATATAATGATTAAAAAAATTAGCCAAACATTTATCAAATGTTTTTTTTAATATATATATACAGTATAAACAGCAGCACTGGTATTCAAACACATACACACACACCCATGACCCTAACCTACCAGTACACAATAATACAGTAATAATAATAATGAAAAAATAAATTGTTTAGGTTTTTTTTGTTGAAAAAAATAATATAAAAACCATTTATTTTCATACAATAGTAATGTTTTGTTTCCCCCCCCCAAAAAAATCAACATTTTATGAATGAATTTAGTATATATTATATTATAAATAAAATAAATTAATTGTATTCAAACTTATAAATTATAATACAATTTAATTGTTAGGTGTTTATTATATTATAAATATCCTATTATTTAATGTGATCTGAATATCGCTAACTTTAATCAAAGTCATGATATATTATATGATAGATATTTATATAGAAAATATATAAAAAAAGTTTTTATTTTAAATGTAAGTAATATTATTACATATATATAATGATTAAAAAATGAAAACAATTTAAATACTATACACACAAAAAACAACACATTAAGCAATATTTTTTGCACTTTTTTTTTGGGCAATATCTTAAAGAAAGTTATACTAAATTTATTGTTAATGTTGTTGTTGTTGTTGTTATAATTATATTATTATTATTATTTAATTTTTTTTATTTGTTGATTGTTTGTTTGAAAAAAAACAAAAAGTTGTTTTACTTGATAGTAAATTTGATTAAAAAATATATATATAATTTGAAATAGTTTATAGTTTTTTTTTGTTGTTGATTGTTTTGTTTATTTTAAATATTTAAATATACTTTATATACTGTATATTGAAACACGTTTTATTATTATTATTATTACAGTATTTTACATATCACTGTAATAGTATAGTAACCTATTTGAATACCAAAATAAGTTTAATAATTTAATAATAAAAATAAATAAATAATAATAATAATAATTTAGTTCAATTTCTAAATAATATTAAGATAGATAGTGTTTACTGATATATAAAGTTTAATAAATTATTTTAAACTATTTTAACAAATAAACAAAAATTGAGATTAATTTTTATATATAAAAGGCATTAGATTTTTAACTACTTTAAATATATATATATACTTAAATAAATAAAATAATAATTAAACTTTTATAGTATTTAAAATATCTATGTTATCATAAATGATACCATCATTACTGTATTAAAAATATAAATGTTTGCCCAAAAATTATTTTAATTTGTTGTTTACTTTTATATATATATATATATACTGTATAAATATATGATTTTATATAAAATAATACACTTATGTTGTCTTATATGGAAAAATTATATTTTTATTTATTTATTATTATTATTATTCAATAATAAACAAAATAAAATAATAAATAAAAATTAATACATATATAATATATTTAAAAATTTATTATCTATTTTATGTATTATATCATATATATATTAGATATATAATTATAAGAAAAAAAAATTTAGTTTTTTATTTTAGCATAATTTTCTAGCAATTAGTATCAGCTATTATTAATACAGTATTATTATTATATATTATATATTATTTAAAATATTTATAGCATAATCAAATACAATAGGATTTTACAAGTAAATGTTTTTGACACATACTTTTTTCGTGTTAGTCATCTATGTTATCAATTATCTATCATTACAATAATAGCCTTCAAATATAATAAAATTAGTTATAATTAATTAAACTATGTTGATTAAGTTTATTGATTATTTACTAGAGAGAGAGAGAGAGAGAGAGAGAGAGAGAGAGAGAGAGAGAGAGAGAGAGAGAGAGAGAGAGTAAATTAATTGTCTTATTAATCAATATATATATATATATATATATACAATATTTGTATTATTATATACGGTATGTTAAATAATTGAGATTTTTGTTATTTTTTGGTATCAATTTTCAAACAAACAAAATAACATAATAACCCGCAAGAAACCAGAGAAAAATTGTTTTAATGAAATAATAATAATAATAGACAAAAAAATAATAATAATAAGTATATTATTATTGTATAATAATTCCGAGAAATATTCTAATATGTAAAAAAATATTTGTTAATATTATTTGACAATTATTACTATATTTCTATTATCATATTATTTGTTAAAATTGAATCAAAATAATAACATTCATAAAAAATAAATAAATAACTATCTATTGAAAATAGAGTGAAATCATATTTCATTATTAATTGAGTTTATACAGTAAATATATATATATATATATATATATATATGATATATTATCACTTATACATACATTGATTAACAATTGATAGAAATTAATACCTTATTGTTTAACGGAACGGAAAATTCCTATTGAAATAAAAATCTATTTTTTTGCAACAAAAATCCCATATTATTATAATATTAAATATAACTTTTCTAATGTTTCAATATATATATATATATATATATATACAGTATATATGTATTAAAAAAAATTATATATATTTTTAGCCACAAAAAAATCTAAGTATATAATATATAAGCAAATTGTTTAGTCAACTATTTTAATAATATATTATTTTGTTTTTTTTGGATTAATATATAGCTTTAAAATCTTTAAAAAAAACACATAATATTTAATATTAGTCATCAGATTTTTTTTTAATATACAGTTTTGATTATTGAATTTATTTTTAAATAATAATAATAATTTGCTATTACATATCATACGATATTTTACACATATCATTGTTTGCATGAATGGCCACTAAATATATGACTATTTTTTTTTGGTAGCCCTGACCTCCTCTCATCATAAATAGATAATAATAGTAATAATTATAATTGTTATATACTCACAAAAAAATATATGTATGATTATAGTGTATTAGTAAAAAAAATTTATAAATTATAAGTGAAATGAAAATTAATGCCAACTAAAAAAAATCATTAAAACCTTTTTAAAAAAAATTAGTTTAGACTTTTAGAGTTTTAGTATAGACATTGAAATATATAATATAAGATTTTTTTTGTTGATTTTATATTTGATATCATAATAAAATATATACAATAAAAAAAAGTGGACACAAAAATATATAACTTTTATTTTTTTTATCACATGATTTTTGTGTGTATTAAATATATTTATATAAAAATATATATTATTATTGAATAAAAGTTTTTTTTGTTTAGTTTTTTTTCTAATGTATTAATATATAAAAACTATATAACTATATCTTTATGTACTATATTTAAGAGCTAATATCTCAAGGATAGGTTGTTATGTTATATTTATATGAAAAAAATGATATATATTTTGTTAAGACAATTGTGTTTTGTTTTTATTATTATTATTATTATTATTGTTTGGCCACCACTTATAATATATGAAGTAATCGTCTACTATTGGGAAGTACTGTAATATTTATGAGTATATACTGTATAATACTTTATATAACATACAAAAAAAAACAAAATAAATCGTTATTTAATTATAATAATAATATACAGAATATAAGATAAATATTTGATATGAAATATATATAAGTTATATATATAAAAATATAATAGTTTTATGATTAAGGATTTCATGGTTTTTTTTATTGTTGGTGTAGTGTTTTGTAAGACACCTAAACATTAGATAATTTTTTTTGTTTATTATTATTATTATGTGTTATTGTTATGTATATTGTAATTAAATCTATAATAACTTTTTTGTTTGTTTGTTAATATATTAAATATGATATATAAATATAATAGATATAATATTTTTTTTCAATGTCTCCTATTAAAACAATAAAATTATATATAACTTTTGTTTTTTATTGTTTTACTGGGATAAACATTTTTTACCCCCCCCCCCAAAAAAAATATATATATTATAAATATATTTAGTAAAGTTTTTGTAAAACTTTACTTTAATAAACCAACAACAATAAAAATAAAATAATATGATATATTGTTTTTTAAGTCTACCACAAAATAATAACAATAAAAACAATTGCATAATAATAGTTGCGTTTAGTTTGGTGTATATATATATATATATATATTTATAGTATATTGATTTTTATGACAAAACCATTAATTATATACTTTATTTTTATATATATATAAAAAAATTGTTTTTTAAAAATTTTACTCACATACACACACACACACACAAACAAAATAGATAAATAAAAAACACAATGTTTTATTCATACCTATTGTTTAAAAAAATTTATATATATATTAATAATAATAAAAATTATAAATTATAAAATCATTGAAAAAAACACTATAAAAAAACTCCTATAAAATTCATTAATCATTTTATTTATAAAAAAAACTAAACACAAAACAAACAGATTATCTCTAATTATTAATTACTCTATTATTTATTTATTACGTTAATTATAATCACATTATTATTATTATATATTTTTTTAATTTATTATTATTATTATTATTTTGGTTAGACGTCTATTGATCGCCGAAACCACTAAAATACATTACGCCGAATATATGCCATCGATTTTGGGCGAAAAATTGATGGACTATTTCGGTCTGAATGTCCAACACGACGGCCACACCCAATACAATCCGCACATCGATCCGTCAACCCTGCAATCGGTAGCCGTGGCCGCTCTCCGTATGGGTCATTCGCAAATATTTTCCCGATTTAATGTCCTCAACAAAGGCAACGGCAATAACCCGCACGGATTTGGCCAACAAAAACAATCGTATAGTTTTCTATTGAGAAACAAGTTTTTCGAAATGTCCGACATTTGGTTGGGAAATGTATGTCATATTTTTGTTTGTTGATACCGTTTTTTTTTGAGTATATATAATATTAATTTTTGTTGGTCACCCCCACCCGCCCCACCCGACCCCTATAGTCCCAGGGTATCCTACGTGGTCTGATTGAAGGCGAATCCGACAATCAAGTCGATCCGTTTATTGTTACCGATGTCAAAGATTTCTTGTTTTTCAACCCCCGTACGACTACTAACGGTAAATCAGTGATCACACAGCCGTCGGTAATTGACTTATCGGCCATCAATATCAATCGTGGCCGCGAACACGGCGTAGCCGGCTATGTCTACTATCTTGAGTACTGTACCGGCGCTCAGATTAAGTCGTGGCAAGATTTGGCCCAATTTATACCCGACTCACGTATTAAACGACTGCGCGATGCCTACAGGTTTGTTGTGGTTGTTGTTAATTGACTATTTAGCGCACGGGTAGTACATCCGTCCCTATTATACATATATAACACCTCCTTATTTGTACCCCCCGCCGTAGAAATGTCGGCGACATTGACCTGTTTGTTGGCGGCCTATCCGAGAACCGGGCATTCGGTTCGATACTTGGACCGACTTTTGCCTGTCTGAATGGCATACAGTTTCACCACTGGAAATATGGCGACCGTTTCTACTTTGAACACGGTGGCCAGGCCGGTTCATTCAAATCACGTTAGTACTACCACACCAACCCTAACCCCCCATATGATCCCGGAGCTGGTGACTAAATGTTGTTGTTGTCCCCCCCCCTTAATTGTACAGAACAATTGAAAAACATCCGCCAGACATCATCGCTGGCCAACTTGATCTGCAAGACCAACGACTTTGACTCAGTTCAGGCCAATCCACAGTTCCTGCCGTCCGATCACAACCCGAAAGTGCCGTGTCATGCGTTGGCCGAAATTGATTACGAGCTCTGGCGGGAAACACCCGCCTACGGAAGCTTGGAGTATAAAAAGAAATAATTTTTTAATTAATTAATTAAATAATAATTATTAATAATAATATCATAATAATGAATAATAATATGAGAGTAATAGTAATAATACTGTAATAATAAGGTATTAAATGATTATTTAAAAAAAAAAAATTTTAGTTAAATATCAATTTTTTTTATTAGTTATTAAAAGAAAAAATGATATTTGATATTAAATTGATATATATTTTATTTTTATAAATAAATAATTGTTAAGTTTTTTTTATTAAAAAAAATTAAAGTTGTTGTCAACAAATTAATTGGAAAAACAAATTTTTATTTATATATCAAATGTTAAATTTATGTTTTTTTAAATTGTAATTATAATTGTTATTATTATTGTTATTATTACTTAATATATATATGAAAACGCACTAATAAATTATTATTCATAAAAATATTTATGAATAAATAGATATTAAATTATATAATATATTTAGATTATTCCCATAATAATAATAATAATAAGTATTATAATTGTTTTATATGTTAAAATATAATACTTAATTATTATTATTTTTCTCCCCCTCCCCTCCCCCATAAAATAAAATGTTATTTTTTGTGTTTAATTTCATCATAAAAATATTAAACTATTATTGTTATTATTGTTATCAAAATGAAAATAAGTAAAAGTGTATACAATATCTATATAAATATATAAAAATTATTATTATTTTATTTTATTATTTGTTTGCTATTATCATATAATATGAAATATGTTTTTTTATATTTTGTTGTTATACACAAACACATAACACAAACTAAATTACCAAAAAATAATAATAATCTAATGTTATAACTATTAGTATTAATTTTTTTTATTATTATTATTACTTTCATATTATTAAATGTTGAATGTATTTAAAAACATATATTATATGAAAATATATATAATATATATATATAATAAAATAAAATATGGAAACAATTGTTAAGTGAATACTAAGAGAAAGAGAGAGATATATAAATGAAAACAATAAACAAAATTTTTATTTGTTATTTATTTTTTATGGTTTATATAAATTGTTTAGTTTTTATTATTATTATTATGATTTTTATTATTAATTACAATATTATTTTACAGATATATATAACTTTTGTTGGTTAACACAATTTTTATATAATAGTATTTATTATTATTTTTCTTATTTGCCAAAAATATATATATTTATATATTTTTAAAAAGTTTTTGCAATTTTTATTGTTGTTGTTATGTTTGATATACAGCATCATTATATGTAAGAAATTATAATTACATTATTATTTTTTTTTATGAAAAAATTATTATTACTTATTACTAAATTTCAAAAATTATATGACATTTGAAAACAAAATTAATTTAATTTAAAAATTATTTTTACAAATAAATTAATTGTTGACTGTATATAATATTTTATTCATAGTTATTAACAGTTAAATATTTTTTGAAATAATTGATAAAAATAAAAAAATAATTTTAAACTTAATTATCACTATTTATCTTTAATATTGATTCAAGATTTTTTTTTGAATCATTAATAGTAAACATAAAAATATAAATATAATACTTAAAAAAATTCAATAATTATTATTAAATTTAAAATTTAAATATTTATATTTCTGTATTAAAGTTTATTTTTTATTAAACATTGAGATTTATTTTTAAAAAAATTAAAATAACTATTCATAATATCAAATATCAACATAAACTTTTTAAATACAATAATATTATTAATAGTATTATTACAATAATAATAATAATCTTGTTTTTTAATACACTGTATAATGACTATAAAAGTAAAAATTATTAACAATAAAATTATTATGAAATATATTTTTATATATTAGATTATTTTTGTACATTTCTATTAAAAAACTTTTTTTTCTATAAAAATACAATATTTATATGAAATAATAATAATAATATCAATAAAAATATAATTAGTTTTATATTTCAAACTATAGTTGTAGTCAATTATATCATGAAAAATATGACACAACAAGTACTGTATTGTATTTACAAATGTATTATTAAAAATAGAAAATTATATTATTATATAATTTTTTTAAAAAGAGACATTTATGTGTAAAAGTATTGAAAAAAGTTATATTTATAACTTTATATCAATATTTATAAAAAAAAATTTTTTTGTTTGTAAAAAAAATCTTAAAAAAATTAAAATATTTTGTTACAATATTACACTCAATAATTGTATAATCATATTATAACTATAATTTGTTATATGATATAACACTTTTTTTTATATTAAAAACAAACTTAAAATAAAAATACAATTATTTTTTTTAAAACAATTATACATAATTTACAACAACAAAAATTTACAAATAATATACTGTGATAAAATATTAAGTTTTGATACATAAAAATAAAATGTTTTTTTATATATGTATAGTCCTATAATATACTATTATATACCGACTTTGCTGACATATAATAGCATGCAATTATATCTAAAGTGGTACCAAGGGGTGCAATTATATCTAGATATAGTTGCATATATTTTTTGTAATATTAAATAACATGATTACTAAAATTGACGTATAGTTGCTGTCATATAAAAGTTTTTTGAAACTGTAAAATAAGGTAAAATTTTTTGTCAAAAATATTTAGCAATTAGTATCCATTTTCACTGTCTATGTGTCTCATTATGACAACAAAATGACTGAATGTTTTATTAATGTGTCATCAAGTGAAGACTCAGAGGTAAATCAAGTGAATGATATGTCAATGGATATATCAATAACCTCAAGAAGTAGTGAATTGAATCTGACATCTGTATCAACGAAAAAGTCAAAATTAAAGACTAGACGGTTATCATATACAATACAATTCAGATTGGAAGCCATTGAATGGCATAAAAACAATGGTAATAATCAATCAGAAACTGCAAGACAATATGGGACCTCAAGACAAAACATTGCATTATGGTTACAAAATGAAGACAAATATTGCAATTTATTAGACAATAAGTCCGTTAGTGTGAAAACCCGCCGAAGACTTCTTAAACCACGTATCGGTAAATTTCCAGAAATGGAGTCCAAACTTATTGAGTGGTTTACTAAAACACGAAATGATAAACTTTTCGTCACATATGAATTATTAATTAGCAAAGCATTAGAGATATTTAATGAAATCAATACCAATAAGAGAGAGACTGTGGGTCTGGAGAAGTCAGACAGTCTTCTGTTTAAAGCATCGACTGGTTGGGTCCAAGGATTTATGCAAAGATATCAATTATCTGTCAGAGCTGTTACAACAATTGGTCAGAAAATACCAAAGAATGCGAGAGAAATCAGTTTTTGTTTTTTTCAAAATGTGGATAATTTTCGTTCTCAACAATTGCTGCAAAATAATCAAATTATTATCATAAATATGGATGAAATACCTGTTTATTTCGATTTACCACAAAACCACACAATTGATAAAATTGGTAACAAATCAGTAGCACTGCGGACGACAGGACATGAGAAGACTAGATTTACACTTATTTTATGTGGGGATAATATGGGTCGCAAATATAAGGCTACAATTATTTTCAAAAATTTGAAAAAGATTCCTAAGTGTAAGTTTCCATCTGATGTCGAGGTAATGGTCAGCGCGAAGGGATCTATGACTACAGATTTGATGCATCAATGGATAACTAAAGTGTTTGCTAAACGTCCAGACGGTTTGTTTCTCAATATGGCAGTCAAAAATTGTCAATTAAAATACCGTTCACTATTAACCATTGACGCCGCAAGAGCTCACAGAAGCATTGAAATAAAAAAACTTTTCGCTTCACATTATGCTACAAAAGTTGAGATAATACCGGGAGGTATGACGCCACTACTTCAACCCGCAGATGTCTCCTGGAATCGACCGGTTAAATCACATCTTAAAAAATATTGGGCCGATTGGATGGCATCAGCAGATGATACTAAACCTAAGACTAAAGACGGTAATGTCAAGAGACCATCATATGGTTTGATTGCCGAGTGGTGTAGTAAAGCGTGGAAAGCAATACCATTGCAACAAATTATTGATAGTTTCAAACAATGTAATCTTAGCCAAGTCAGAGATGATACACAATTACATTCAAAGCTAAAGTGTATTTTAAGTGATAGACAACAATCTGATGGACAACAAGAATCAACAGGAATTTCAGATACAGAATCTGATAATGAAGAGATTGAGGAAGTAATTGATTATATTCCTGATGTTAATTAATAATTACATTACATTTGGTTTAAATAAAAATTTTTGAATTGCTATAATTGAGTTATAATTACATGCAACTATATGTCAATTTTACCAAGGGGTGCAACTATATCTATGTATAATTGCATCAATTTTTACCCATGTCAATTTTGCTCAAATTTAGATATAATTGCATGCTATTATATGTCAGCAAAGTCGGTACATAATGATTACCTTAGATGTCATAATCTATACAAATGTTTAAAAATAAAACTATAATTAAAAACTAATAGTTTAAAAAAAATCCAATAATAATGATAATGAAAGCATTAATTAAAAAAATATATATAAAAGTTTTCAAATCAAACAAACAAAAACAACAAAAAAAAACAATAGACTTATCACTGATTAGCTATAATTGAAAAATGAAACCATTTTTTCTGTATTAATGAAACTCAAAATTTTCATCCGTATAACGTTTGGGCAGTTGTTTAACCCGTTTCAATGGCAAACAGCTAAGACTCGGATCCGATGATTGCTGTTCACAACTGACATCGCTGACCATCAGTGTTGGTGACGGAGGCGGCGTTGGCGGCAGTGGTGCCAACTTTTTCTTATTTCTCAAAATCATACAACAATTGTTGTCAACATTATTATTATTATTATCAGCGATAAAATGGTTGATTTTGGCCACAAGTTCGGTAAAGTTTTCACGTCTTACGAGACGAAGTCTATCATTGGCCAGAAATCGGGACGGAGGCGGTGACGGCAGAGGTGGTGGCAATAACTTCTTGTTGTTCCTTAAAACCATACGATTGTCCTCTTCTTCTTCTTCTTCCTCCTCCTCATCTTCATAGACATTGTCATAGCTGTCATCGAAATGTCTGATTTTGGCCACTGGTTCGGCAAAGTGGACACGTCTGCTGGGAGTGAGACTGACATCAAGTCTATTATCGATTCATTTATTAATAAATAATTTTTTTTTTAAAAATACATTATTAGACATAAATTTTTAAACAATAACTTACTGTTCAAAAGCATCAATTTGATCGGTACTGTCGTTATCATCATCATTATCATCATCGGTACTATTGTCCAGATTGATGGCCATAAATCGGCTGTCAATTGATAGATCACTAGTAACGGCTGATTGACTGACATTTTTGTCTACTATTGGTTGGCTGCCGCCAGTAGTGTCTGGACTTGATTGGCCGTCCATCGACTCATTGTCATTGTCTACACCACTGTCGTCAGTAGTATCGCTGCTGACTTCTTCAATGTCCATCGATTCGGACAACATATCATCGGATGGTTGAGTTGATTGCGATTGTCTTTCAGGACTGTGTGTGTGTGTGTGTGTGTGTGTGTGTGTAAAGTAAATGGTATTAAAACTTTTGGCCAAATAAACACTAATACAGTATTATTATCAACAAAAAAAATCAATACCTTTTCAATACCAAACGGTATCGCTTCTTGAGCGGCAAATGGTTGGCAAATGTATCGACAATTGAATTGATAGGATTGTAGACAATATCAATAGCTGAAGATATATCCATATGATTATCAATTGTAGCATTGGTCACACACTTAACGGTCAGATCCAGTGGCAAACAGTTGTCAATTTGATCATCAATTGGCTGATCAATTGTGTCAACACTTTTTTTGAAAGTACCGATAATTTTGAGACAATTAGATCCGATAACAATAAAATAATAATCAATTGATTTATTTACCTGACGTTTGTATCGATTGGGCATTCGTTTGATGTATCGGTGATAACAACATTGTCCACAGATTTGATGGACAAATCAATTGGTGACACGTCGTCATTATCATCGCTATCACTAAATAATATGAAACATGTTTTGTATTAAAAAAAAAACAAATTATCGGTAAATGTTAACCAAACCTATCGGCCGACAAATCGATGAATTCAATCTTTGGCTGCTTCGGTGGTACCAACTCGTCCATCACTGTATCGTTAGTTTGGACACCAATTATCAATCTGTTTCACACAATCAGCAATATTGTTGAATCACGAGAGGGAATCAATGGATCAATTGATAATTACAATTATAACTAACCTATGGTTGTCAAAGTCAATGAACAACTTATTATTGTCTGTCCAATTGATTATACCAATCATCGGCTGCTGTGGAGGAGGAATCAACTGATCCATCATTACTTGTGTCGTGTCGTTAGTTTGGACACCAATTGTCGATCTGTTGTTGTTGTTGTTGTTGTTGTTGTTGTCGACGACAACAATTATTGTTAAATCGGATAATTAGATCAAACAAAAAAAACCAATCAATCAATCAATCAATTACTTACCGATCGGTTGTTTTATTGTTGTCGTTGTTGTTGTCATCATCGGTGCGAACGATAACCATATCGTTGTCAACGATAACATCAAACGGACAATTGATTGCAAACCTGTCGGCGATAGACTTTCTGACGCAACCAATAATAGCCAATTGGTCTTCGGGTTTAATCGGTAAAAACTTGTTGGCCATCATCATCATCGGCGACGACAACGACAATGACGATTGACTCGAGTCGGTGGTCGCCGACGACGACGACGACTGAACATCCGGTTTGAAGGCCATAACGGTAGACATGAGCTATAGTGATGGTCGGTCGGCGCGCGGCAATGAAGTGGTCAACAACACACTGATTGGTGGCAAAGATGACCGATTGATGTGATGGTCAGTGCAATGGGTTTATTATTTTATTTTTTTGATGGATCAGTTAAGTGATCCACTTATTCACAGACACACAACACAACACTTACCGATTTTATATCCGATTTGATGGTCAATACCCGACTGTTTTGTTTTTTTGTTGGTCACTGAGTTTCGGGGATTACTATAGTGTATGAAGTGATTCACTAATACTTAGCAATTGATTGATTGATTCAATGATTGATTTTTATTGTACTTTACTTATCAATAGTCAATCAAACAAATAGTAGACAAAACTAAATGTCAAAACACTATATATTTATTAAAACAAAACAATAAAAACTGTCAAATGTTTTGTTTGTTTTTGTTAACTAAATGCCAGTCAATGTCAATGTCATTGACCTTATATAGTGTGAAAATATAGAGTGACCACCAAAAAAAAATTACAGTATAAACCGTTATTTTATTATTTTTTGAAATAGTTAACCATTAGGTAGATTAAGTTGATTAAAAAAATTTATTATGGTTAATTTTTTCACCAAATTGCATACTAGTTTTTTTTAAATTATATATATATTTTTGTTAAAGTAATTAATAAATTTAATAATTTTTATTTTTACAGGTTTGTACCATTTTGTAGTTGGCAACACTTTTTTTCATTAATTGATTTTAATACAGTATTTTAATCCAATTAATGGATAACTGTTATAATGTATTCAATATTACTTATTATATGTATTTAAAATAGTTTTAATAATAATGTTTTTTTTAAATTTGTTTTTTAATTTTATTATTATTATTATTGATATGTATTTTTTTTTACTTTTATTTTTAATTATTATCATAAAACCAAAAAAAGTATTTTATAAAAATAATTGTTATTTGAATACAAAAAAACTATATAAATTAAAATATATGAAAACTATTTTTTATAATTTAACTTTACTTATAAATACTATAATTTATAAATATATTACTAAATTATAATTGAAAATAATTAATTATAAAAATATATACAACTAAATTAACCTGGGTTATCTAATTAAAAAACTATAAAGTAATTTAATTAATAAACTACAAACAAATTAGTTAATTATTTTTTATTATACTTTAAATAATTTAGATTTTTATTAATAAAATTATTAAATAATAATATCACTCAATAGAAACTTAAATTATCATTAATTTTTTCAATACAATTATCAATATTTATTTTTATTATAATTTTTAAAAAAAAACTATTTATAATATAGTGATAAATATAACACTGTATAATAATAAATATTATTACAAAAAATGAAAAATTATTTTTAAAAAATAGATTATTATAGTATATAAAATTTTTCAATAGTTATATTATTAATTATTAATTTTTAATACAATATTTTTGTACATTTTTTTTGGTACAATTTTTTTTACAAATTTTTTATACAATATTTACACACGATTTTAAATTTCAAGCTATAATTATGAGTTATTGCATAAAAAATATGATACAATATATACACTAATAATACTGTATTTTAAACAAAATTTCTTATATAATAGCATATTATAATAACATATATAAGTTATATACATTTGTCTAAATAAAAAAAAAAATTAAAACATATATCAAAATTTACACACACACACAAAAATTATAAACAATTATACATAATTTTTACAACAAACAAAATGATTAAAAAAAATGTATGAAATTTTTCACAAAAATGAATTTAAATAAAACAAATAATTACCAAACAATTATAAATTATGAAAATATTTAAAACTAATATCATATATGATCTCTAATATATAGATGTAATTAAACTAATATAATATATATTATATATATGTTTTTAAAAAATAAAATTTTAAACAAAACAATAGGAATAATTACTATTGTATTAATAAATTTGAAAAAAAACTTATTTTTTTGTGTTAATCTGTGCTATAATAATGGCAAACAATTATAACTCGGGAACCGATTGATTGGTCACAGCTATCATTGGTGTCCACTACTACTACTGGTAGCGGATGCTGAGGAAGAGGAGGTGGCCATCGAAGGTAATAATCGTTTTTTATTCCTCAAAACCATACCTTCATTGGCCATTGGTTTCGAAAAGTTGATACCTTTGAGACATAGACCAAGTCTACCGATAATCAATCCGAGATAAATAAATATATTTATTATATTAAAAATTATTTATTAAAAAAATACAAAAATAAAATCATGAAATACCGTTCAAAAGCTTGTAATTTGTCACTACTGAGGACAACATAACTACGGGTAGGGTTGTTGTTGTTGTTGTTGTCTACTTCAACTATACCACCACTACTAGTAGTTCCAGTCGATTGATGACTAATGGTGTCCATAGGTTGGCCATCAGTTATATTGTATGGAGTTGTTGACTGACAATCATTATCACCACAATTCACATCATCGTCATCATCAGCAACAACATCACTGTTGTCCACTGCTTGTTGAATGTCCATTGAATTGGTCGATACTGGTCTGTGTTTAGGACTGTTTGGTGATGAGGAAAAAAAGTGGTCAAACAAAACAAACCCATCCATTACTCCATAAAAAATGCATACCTTTTCCATACGTTACGACCCATTAGTCGGCGGCGGCCTTTGTATTGGTTATTGATTGGCGATTGATAAGCAAAACTATCGGCAACTGATGTATTGCCCGAGTCATAGCCAGAATCGACAACAACTGCGGCAGACATCTCGATTGGTTGGCCACTGCCAGTTGTGTCTTGACTTGACGACTGGCCGTCCATATCATCCACCATTGAACTGTCGTCGCCGACATCAATGTCCATTGAATCGGCTGACACTACATCATCATCATCAGCTGAAGTGAGCGATGATTTTGATTGGGGTTCAGGACTATTGTTCACATCAATTGATCCACAAAAAAACTCATTATCTAAACCTATTATCTCTATTTTTTAAAAAAAAACCATACCTTTCCCAAACTATACGCCGTTTCTTGAGCGGCAAATGGTTGGCAATAGTTTCGCCAATCAATTGGTTCGGATCAGTGTCAGCGACAACAACGCCAACAACAACATCATCATCAGCTGACATCTCAATATCATTGTCTATAGACTTAATGGTCAAATCCAGTGGCAAACTGTTGTCAATTTGATCATCGATTGACAGATCAATAGTTTCAACACTTTTTTGTTGTTGAAAAAGTACCGATAATTTTTGAGACATTAGATTCAAATTTAACTAATTATAAAAAGCAATTGATTTATTGATACCTGATATTAGATGTATCGGTGATAACAACATTGTCCGCAGATTTGATGGACAAATCAATGGGCGACAAACACTCGCCATCATCGACGTCGAGGTCGTCATCATTATCATCGTTGTCACTAAATATAAGAAGATGTTTAAAAGATATAGTTTTTTGTATCCAAAAAAATAACAAATTCAATGGACAACCAAACCTATCGGTAGTCAAATCAATCAATTCAATTGTTGGCTGCTTCGGTGGTACCAACGACTCATCCGTCATCATAACTGTGTCATCAATTTGGACACCAATTTCTGTCGATCTGTTTGACAACAATATTGTTTGGATTTGGATCAATTGAAAAAACCATTGAATTAAAAACAATCACTTACCTATTGGCAGCGGCGGCGGCGGTGATATCATTATTATTGTTATTATTATCGGTACTGACCATCATTTGTTCATCCATTGACCGAACAATAACCGTATTGTTGTTCATCAGTACATTAAACGGACCATTGATGCCATACCTGTCGCCTATCAAGTCTTTGATCTGACCAATGATAGCCAATTGGTCTACRGGTTTAATCGGTAAATACTTTTTCGGTAAAAACGGCGCGGAGGACGACACTGAAGATGATGATGACGATGACTGTGACGATGACGATGGACTCCTCAGGTCTGTGGTCGCAGAGGACGACGACGACGACGGCAACGACTGAACAATTGTAAACATTTTGTATGCCATATGAATTGGCAGTTTCGGTGGTCAACCCCTGGGGGAGTCGGTAATTGAAACTGTCTTAAGCGGGTATATATATAGAAACTGATTGATCACCCGATAGATTATTGGTGTCAACACTGCAGTTGTTGGATGACTATGGATAAAGTGGTGGTCACTATAAACTGTTTTTTTTTCGGGTAATCACTTACCGATTGGTTGGTTAGTTGGTTGGTTTGAAAAGTGGACGCGGAAATAGACGCGGGTATCCGATTTGGTGGCCAATAAAACACTGGTTGGTTGGCGACAACTATTTTTTTTTTGAAATCACTTTGATTTTATGGATCAATTGAAATTAAAAACCACTTTAAGATCAAACAACACTTTAATTAATTGATTGATTGATTGATTGATTGATTGATTGATTGATTGATTGATTGATTGCTTATAAAAAAAATTTATTTTAATTTTTTTTTTACTGTACTCTCAATACTTGTCTATCAGTCAATCAATACAACTATAATATAACACTAAATGTCAAACAAAAGCATCAAAGCTGTCATCAAAAACAAAAAAAAAAGTTTATTTTGTTTTGACTGCCAGTCAATGTCAATGGGGATTAAAGGGGGGGGATTTAGTGGGGGATTAGGAGTGACCATAATTTTTTGTTGTTGATAAACCTTTATATTTAATTTTAAAAAAATTATTAATTAAAAACCAATAGTTTTCTGATTGATTTTAATGTGTTATTAATATATATACAAATGTATATAACAATAGATTTGTTTTAATTAACTGTTAAAATGTTTATTAAATTTATGTTAAATTTGTTTTTTTATTTATTTTTTGAATAATGATTATTGTATTTTTAGTTAAAAATATTTTTACAGGTTTATCCAATTTTTATTTGGCCAATTTTTTTTTATTAAATTGTATTTAATACAGTGTTTATTGGATAACAATGTTTACTATTACAGTGTTTTTAAAATTGTTTTCAAACTTTTTTTGTTTGTTTTATTTGGTGATTGAAGAGTCAAAGTGTATATAAATAACATAAAAAAATTATTTAAAAAAATTATTTTATTATAATTTATAAAATTATATTCTAGTACATTAAATAGTTAATTATTATATTTTTTTTAAATAATAATTATAAATAAATTTAAACAAATAAATAATTAAACCAAAAAAAAAATTAAAACTATTTTTTGTGTCCAATATTTTACTAAAATAATTGTCTAAATATTTTTTTATCATATATTAATTAACTGTCTATTTATTTTATAGGTTATACATCTGTAATTGAAAAATTTTATGATTATTTGAATAAACAAATAAATTAATAAAACCATAAATAAAATAAAAATAATAATATTATTGGGTAATCAATAATTGTTATGTAATTGTTAATATTAAAATTATAATATATAGTGTAGTTTAATATATGTAAATTTTTTATAACAATAATAATAATTTAAATTGAATATTAGAGGATAATAATTAAATCAATTAAAGTTAACTTAAATAAAATAATATAATATTAATTAATAAAACAAATAATTAGTTTTATCAATAAAATAATTATTATTAAAATTGAATATTAGTTAAATAGACAGTTATTAGCAAATAAATATTTTATATTATTATTATTATTACTGTATATAAAATTAATTAAAATTTATATTTATATTTTAATACAATTATAAATATTTATTTATTTTAATTTAGTTTCTATTCATAATACATATAGAATTTTAAAAATATATATAAATAAATAATTATAATTTTTATTACAAAAGTAAAGATTATTATAAATAAATTATTATATAAAAAAATATTTCTATAATAATAATTGTATTATTTTTATATACAATACATTTATATTTAAATAATATATAAAATTTAAATTCAAAAAAAATTTAGTCTTAAATTTCAAGCCATAGTAATGTGTTATAGAAAATACGATACAATAAATAATTATTATAATGTATTTACAAATGTATTATTAAAATAACAAATTATAATATAAAACTTATATTATTAATTTTTTTATAGAAAATAAATATTCTTATATAATTCACAATATCTTTAAAAAATTACAAAAAAAATTATTTTAACTACATTTTTAGATATTACCGATAATATTATGAATTTTGATAAATAAATAATTAATTAAATTTATTGTTATGTTAAAAATTATTTTATATTTAAAATTTAGTAAATGTTATATTTTTTTAAATAATTTATGTTATGTTAAATTATATCAATATTTAGAACAATAAAGTTTTAAAATATAAATAATTAATTTATAAATACTAATAAATTATAAATAATTTTTTATTAAGATTTAATATACAATGACTATATTTTAAATTATTGTTAACTATATTATATATATATATATATTTATTATTTATTAAAAAATTTATCTAATTATTTATTTATGGGTTTTTATAAAATATAATGATTTACTAATATTAATCTATGATTGTCTGAAATATATTAAGCAATCTATTATTTAATCATCTAATCTAATAAATAAATAATAAAATTATAAAATATTTTATTTATTCTAAAAAACATTATATTTAGTATTGCAAACAAATAGTTTTAAATAATAGCTTTTCAACATATATTATAAATGTTTGTTGAGATTATAATAATACTAATAATATCTGTATTAATGTTAGTTTAACTATATTTATATTGTAATTTATATTGAATTATTAAATATTTTATATAAATAATATTTACTGTTTAAATGTTTTTTTCTATTATAAATAAATAATTAATTTCAATATTATATAATAGACAAATTTATTAAACTTATTTTATAAATTATAAATAGCTTTTTTAAAAAGTTAGGTCAATACAAGCTAATAATATATCTAATAATAATTTTATTAATATATAAATAAATAATGATTATATTTAAAATTACATTTAAATGTATGAATTGGATTTAAATAAACATTTTAAATGCATTAAACAATAATCAATATGCAAACAAACAAAAAAATCATGATTTAAGTGCATATAAATAAATCCTAATAATTTATTTCATATCACTAGTTAATAATCCAAATAACAATAATAACTTAATATTACTAATATTACTTAAACAGCGACTAAATTAAAAATTATATTATAATACACACTGTAGTGCAATAAATGCAAAATTATTATTAAAATAAATTATTATTGTAAAAGTAAATTGAATAATTAAAAATAATTAAACCAATTACATGTAATTTAATAAAAATCGTATTATTATTATTAATTTTAATAAAAATAATAATAAAATTAATAAAATAACAAATATTAAATAATTAGTTTTAGCAAAACATGCAAAAAACATACAGTAATAACAAATTGCTAAATTAGTAAAAAAAAGTATAATTAAAAATAATTTTAAAAAACATATTTTATAATATGTACAGTATTTGAGTTAATTAAATAAATTTTTATTTTATTTTTTTTTTGTTACGTAATTGTGTTGATATACTGTACATAAGATATTTAATTTTAAATAATTTTATATTTAATTTAAAAAACTGTTAACTAAAAAAATTATTATCAATTGTATAAATATTAAACTTATAATATGAAACATTTGTGTATAATTTTACCAAAAAAATATATAAAATAAAATAAAATATCCATTTTATCTGTTTTTTTCTTACAATCAAAATATCAAATACATTAGTATATTTGGAAATATTTTTTATTACAATTTGATATATAATTTTTCTTTACAAATAAAAAAGTAACTAAAAATATACTGTATATCAACAAAAAAATATCAATTTCGATATGAAAATAATGATAAAAAAAAGTTTTTTTTTTGTTGCAAACATTATTGTTTCACAATTTTCTATATATATATATATATACTGTATATATATAAAAAATGTTAATCAATTGATGATAAATTGCGAAATATCTAATTGTGTTATTTGTTATATTATATGGCATCACATTTAACGATAACCTATAAGTATCATTAAATATATATATATATATATATACAGTATACGTATTTTTAGCAAAATAAAAAAATAAATAAAAATTTTTATAATATATATATATAAATCTATAGTTATTTTTCAATAATAACAACAACAACAACAATATACTAGTAGTAGTGATACTACAATAAAAACGCACAGTTATTACATAACAATGATAACTGAGCGCAGAATCTATTAGTAGTTTTTTATAACAAAATAAAAAAATTGGGAAAAAACAACAACAAAATCAAAATAACATTAGAAAATATATATTATATATATAATAAAAAAAATAAAACAACAAAAATCGGTTTCAAATAAAAAAAATAACTGTATATTTTGTATTTGATAGTTGTTTTTTATGTGTGTGTGTGTGTGTGTGTGTGTGTGTGTGTGTGTGTGTGTGAGTCTAGTATAGTATATATATTGAATATATATATATATATTTATACAGTTGTCTGCCTAATACTGTAGTGTCGTGTCGACGGCACATACACTTTCACTCAACTGTATATACAATACAATATATATTGTATATATATATAAGTATAGAAAAATGCTGATTATTTAATAGCATGTATTGTATATGCCAATCTTAAATAGCTTAGTATAGTCACACACACACACACACACACACACACACACACACACACACACACACACACACACACACTCAGGAGCACTGTTAGCTTAAAAATCTAACGGTGCTCTCACTCACTCTCTCTCGAAACTCAGTCACACACACACACACACTCACTCAGTGTCTGGTATATTCTCACTAACTCTCTCTCTCTCTCTCTCTCTCACCCACTCTATGTTTCTCACTAAAAGTCGAAATGATATCACAGTCTAGACTACCAGTTCTCGGGGAAAGTCAGTCATAATAAGTAGAGATAGAGATAGAGAGTGAGTGACTGAATGATAGATAGACTGTATGTACTGTTAGAGAGAGCGAGTGTAAGAATATTCTGTATATATTTTATATTGACTTATATTTTAATGCATATAGTTTTAAGGTATAATAAAATCCATTATATATATATAATATCAATATATATATATTCTGTATATAAAGATTGACAATAAAAAAACAACTATAAAATCACTATTTTTTTCAGTGACTTTTTATTTAATAAAAAAAATAAAATAAAAGTAAATATCGATTATATTTAAACGCCAACTGTTTTTATTTTGTTGTGTATTTTTTTCAATAACAAAAAATTGTTATAACTTTTCTCAATATCTTATTTTTTAAGTTAAAAAAATCGACAATTTATTTGTTTAATTAACTTTTATTTTCCGATAAAAAAAAAATTAAAAAAAACTATACAAATGATGGCAATTATCAAGTCGTGCTGTTTTGGTGTCAAATCTTTAAGGACAGGTAGCTTCATGTGCGCTATGTATACACTGGTATGTTATATACTGTTTATTATTATTATTAATATTATTAATTTAAATATAATATTTTGTAATCAATTATTTTTATAATAATATTGTTTATAAAAAAAAAATTATCTATAATTGTATGTAATTAAAGTATTATATTTTATATATAATATATAGTATAATAATACTGTATTAATAATACAATAATATTATACATTGACTTATAAATAGAAAATTTAATAAATTTAATTAATTCATTCAATTATTAAATAAAAATTATGATGATTTGAATATTATTATTTTTTTTAGTATCTATAATATTGTAATATAATAGCCCCATCCATAAAAATATATTATAGTATAATTATATTTAAATAGAAAAATTACCAATTACTATTAATTAAAAATTACTATTAATAACTATTTTTAGCCAGATAATTTACATATAGCATGTGACCTATATCAAATTAATAAAAACAACAACAACAAAAATTAATAACTATAATTAAAAATAACTATTATTTTTAATTACATATATCTACAGTATCTATGATAATAATAAATTCATAATTATTATGATTATATAATATACTATCATATTTATTAAAAGATATTAATATATCACTTAGATATAATAAAATAGATATAATAGGGGTGTCTATTAAATATATATATAATATTTTTATTGTTTGTTAAATAAAAATGATTAATCATGTGTTGATTTTTGATGCCAAATAAAATTATAGATCACATTATCTGTAATTAAAAAAATAAAAAATAAAGTTTTTGAAGATAATAATAATAAAAAGGATAATAATTTATATAATAATTTATAGTTTTCAATATAATATGGTTATTGTTTGAAAAATTATTGGTTGTGTGTGTGTGTGTGTTTGTATGTATGTATGTATGTATGTATGTATGTATGTATGTATGTATGTATGTATGTATGTATGTATGTATGTATGTATGTATGTATGTATGTATGTATGTATGTGTGTATGTATGTGTGTATGTATGTATGTATGTGTGTATGTATTTGTGTATGTATGTATGTGTGTATATATGTGTGTATGTATTTGTGTATATATGTGTGTATGTATGTCTGTATGTATATGTGTCTATGTATGTGTGTGTGTATGTATGTATGTATGTATGTGTGTATGTATGTATGTATTTGTGTATGTATGTATGTATGTATGTGTGTATGTATTTGTGTATGTATGTATGTGTGTATATATGTGTGTATGTATTTGTGTATATATATATGTGTATGTATGTCTGTATGTATATGTGTCTATGTATGTGTGTGTATGTACAGTATGTATCATATTATTTTGTTTGCTTAATATGTTTATCGTCCATTAAAATCCATTAGAGTTTATTAAAAGTTATATAAAAAAAATTTTAATAAATAAAGATTATAAAGTTTATTATTAAACAAAACAAAAAAATAAGTATTTTTTATGTTGAAAATATAATTTATTAAATTTTTTTTCACTAAATATAATTCAAATGTATACCTGAAAAATATATATTACTTTTTTTTTGATTTAATGTTTTTTTTTTCGTTGCAACATAATAATGTATAACACTATTTGTATAACATTAGACATTATTATAAGCATTAAATACAGTTTATTAAATAATAATATTAATAAAACTATTAAATATTGCATAATATAATTTTCATGAAAAAATGTTAGTTTTTTTTAACTGGCATCAGATATATATATATATAATAGTATATAATGTAAATAATATGTTAATAGTTAATGTGTTTACATGTTATAACCGTATTATAAATGGGGCCAACAAAATTGCTTTTTTATATATATATTTATACCTTACAGTATATATCTATATATATATATTATTATTATTATTATTATATATTAATATTATATTAGAGATAAAAGATACGGTAAATATAATTAATTTTTTCTGCCCATAACTGACATACACACACATAATATATATATATATATATATATATATATATATATATATATATATATATACAGTATATGTATTATTTATCACGAAAAATATGATTAAGTAAAATTTATCTATTATTATTATTATTATTATTATTATTTAGTCATCCTTAATAATATTGTAATAATAATAATAATATTAATAATATGAAAATATTCAACAATAGCTGCAATGTTATTGTAAATATGATATACATGTATACTGTATCTATCTATATATACAGGTATATATTTATTTATTGGTTCAAATTAATTTTAAGTAAATAAACTACTATACTATATATAAATTTCTAGACATTAGTCTATTAACTAAATAATTTTTATATATTTACAATATATTATAAATTTATTTATTATATATAAAATAATTAAAACTTTAATTTTTTTTGTGTTTAAAATTTATAATTTTAATAATAATATTTCCATTCAATAACCAGTTAAAAATAGTAATGACACCTTAAATTGTCCATAAAAATTACAATAGGCTTATAGTTATGTAATATATGATATATAAGTATACACCCAATACATGTGTGTATATGTGTGTGTGTTTTTGTTTTGTCATTAAATTAATTTAATTTGTTTGCTTTATATATATTTACAATAATAGACACACACACACACATACATACATACATATATGCACACACACACACATACACACACAAAAATACATACACACATACACACACACACACATACATACATACATACATTGCATACAAACTATTTATATTGAAAATTATTTTAGATTATCGTAAGTTGAAGCCATAAACATTAATGATTGCCCTTTAATATGATATTACATTTAAATATTATATGTCACTAATGGTATAGATTTATAAACCTCTCTCTCTCTCTCTCTCTCTCTCTTTCTTTCTTTCTCTCTCTTAAATAATAATAATAATACTTAAAGTAAAAAATCACAAATTGTAAAAATAAAATAACCGGATATCTATTGTTTTTTGTTATTTTATGTTTTTTTTCAACGAAAAAAAAATCTTTAAGTAGATTTTGTCATTTAAATGTACAGTATGTTTGAACTTTTTATTATTATTATTATTATTATTATTATTATAGAAGATATCTATTGAAATAACATTTATATAATTTGTATGTTAGTATGTATAGTATAATATCTTATGGGAATAATAATAATAATAGAGAGAGACATTGATAAAAAAAAATATATATATACATAACATAACATGAAATGTTAAATGTAAATTGTATTAATATATTTACATTACATGCATATATTATACAGTATATATATATATATAACTAATATATAGTATATATAATATATATATATATACTTTACTATACTATTAAATAGTAGTATAATGTTAAATATTCAAATACATAGTATTTTTATTTTATTTTATTATATTTTATTAGATTTGTATAGTTTGTATATATATATATATTTATTTATAATGTATAAATTGAGTTTACTGTATACTACTATCATATAATAGTATGCATTTTTTTCCTATTGATTTCACCCCCAAGTGTTTTTTTTGGGCACCCATGGGGTGGGGAGGGGTTAGTTAGGAGAGAGAGAGAGAGAGAGAGAGAGAGAGAGAGAGAGAGAGAGAGAGAGAGAGAGAGAGAGAGATGTTATACTGTATTCATTAATGCGATTAAAATAAAAAATAAAACGTTTGTTTTATATACTCATATTAAATATAAATAAATTATTAAATACAGTGTATAATAAACGTTTTTTAAATATTAATATTATTATTGTATGAAAAATAATAAAAAATATGTAATAAAAATTGTTGAAATGTTTTTCAGACAAATCAAATTTTTAAAATTAAAAATTAAGTAATTTTTTACTTTTAAAATAAAATTTATATATATATATATATATAAACATTATTTTCAAATTAAATTTAAACCATCTTTTCCAAACCATCAGTAAACTTATTTACTCACTCACTCACTCACTCACTCACTCACTCACTCACTCACTCACTCACTCACTCACTCACTCACTCACCCGCTCTAACAATGCACGCAAATATTAAAAACATTACTAAAAACTGTAAATGTTTTTAATGAATAGACAATCAAAACTAAACTAAATAAAAATAAAATCCAGAATATTATTCAGTGTTTTGTTAATTAAGAAAATAGTGTTTTTATTTTATTTTATTTTAACTAAAAATAACAAATAAGACAAATACAAAAACACACACTCACTCACTCACTCACTCACTACTAGTATATCTATTTCTCGCTTATTTTGTTTAATTGAATGACATTTATAATTTTGTAAATTAAATGTTATTTTACTAATATATATATATAGTGTATATAATTATATTGTAAATGAATACATGACTGTATGTACGTATAACATGTATATGTGTGTGTGTGTATGTGTGTGTGTGTGTGTGTGTGTGTGTATGTATGTATGTATATGTGTGTGTATTTTGTATGTATATATATGTATATTTTAGTGAATATAAAATTTTAGGTTAATTTAATAGCAATTTTTATTATTAGGTTAATAAACATAAACTAGAGATAAGAATATTCTGTATATAATTTACACTCAAAATCAAATTCAGTCATTCATTCATTAATTTATTTATTAATATATTCACACTTGCAATCTATTAAATTTATCATTAAAAACAAAACAATCACAAAAAAAACTACAGACTATGAGATTACTATTTAAGTAAATGTCATTTAATTAACTAAAAAAATATATCATAGTTTTATAAATAAATATATATATATATAGTATTACTATTACTAATATTGTAAGTGTGTCTGTGTGTGTTTAGTATAAATAGTAATAATAATAAACACTATAATAAAGTGTGATAAATAATATATTATATAATTAAAATAAAAATAAAAAATTGTAGTTTTCAAACATTTACTTAATTTATAAAGTTTAGTATTTTAATTATATCAGTATATTAGCATATATTATAATTTATAATATAGTTAATTAAATGACAGTTTTATTTTATATATATATTTTTTTAAAAATGTATAAATCTT